CTGTACACATCTGTGCACATAGAGTGGAAAAGAATCGCTTGGTGAAAGGTAATCGCGAGTGGTCAGGCGAGAGCAGAACAACGACTAGGTGAAACGTGAAGGGCAAAATTTAAAGAAAAAAACATTGTAATCTACGAGAACAAAACTAGTCAGTCAAGTGCGGAAGAGGCCGCACAGACATTCAAGGTGATAGGTCTCTGGGGATGGGGAAAATGCCCCCACAATATGTCTAATTAAATGCAGTAGAAAGGCATTGGAAACTTCAGAGAGAAAGACAAAAGAGAGCAGTGGCCAAATCGGATAAGTCCTAATACAATACAACACATAGCATATAAAGTAATTAGAAAAAGTGGAAATGCAGTCCAGAGTACGGAGTAAGCGAAACGACAACAAAAGCAATTTTATCAAAACTGATCGCCGAAACTGATTCCACTGATATGACTATTGAGGCTTTGGCGACTTCCATGGTAACTGAACCGTTCGAAGTAAGGACCATCGAGGATTTGGCTATTAGTGTTCTCATCCGGTGGTGTCAAAGACATGAGCTCGTTGGCAAACTCTTCAGGGATGTACTTGGTGTCCCTGTCGTCCACGACGTCCGGTTTCCATGGGGGTTCGACATCCCTGAGACAAAAGACAAACAATAGAGTCCAAATAAACCAGGAAGCGTGAAAATTTACCAATAACATACAGGTTCCAGCTGATGGAATGAGACAAGGAAAATGGGGCGAGCGTCTGTATAATGTGAACGCAGTGTTCCCCCAGTAAATGAGGTGAAAATTTACGCACCTACGAATGAGGCGATCCCAGTTCACGGAGAGAAAGAAGGGATGAGCCATGACTTCAAGCACATCGCGAGGACCCCCGCCAAGCCTGCTGTTGGGATCTTTGACAAGAAGCTGAGCAAGAATATCTCGAGAAACTTGAGATAAAGAGGCGGGGAAGACAACATTCTCCTGGAAAGCAAAATGCGGTGAGGTGAGAAGGCAAATCGCTCAAATTAGCAACACAAACACTGGACACAAAACGTAAGTCGATGACAACCATCCTGGATGGGCACCACATTGGTCACACAGACTCTATTTATCGCAGCAACCACCAATGTGAGAAAAGTTGTCAGATGAATGAAATGTTCAACAAAAGAATCATTCAGTCGTTTTTGAAAAAGTTCCAAGGGCATAAAGAACGGACAGTTAAGCCAACGCAGTATGGGAGGTCGACATCAAACACAAATGGTCTCCGGCTGTAATGTGGCTAGGGAAACAAGAGCTAGTATCGTGAGCTAGTACCCAGTGACGAAAAGGACTACGCGTTTGCCGGAGGTCACTGGTTGGAATCCCCGTAGACGCGAGCGACCTCGCGGTACACTCAATAAACGCACATGCATCGAAGCATCGGTATGGGGTGCCGTCGGCGAACTGTTGACGTTTTACTAATGAGTAGATGGATCCTTTTAATTGTAATTTTAATGTTTTCGTCCCAGCTGCTCACAAGTTACATAGCACAGCCTAGTGCGGAGAAGCACCAAACGTGTTTCGCCCTATTGGGGCTCGTCGGTGGTGCGCATTCCCTCGGTCCCCTACTGGGGATCGAACCCATGATCATTAGAGGCAGATGCCAACTAGCCAGCAGCTTAAGCCACTGAGCCATGGGGGATGTCGGCTGGGCTACACAATTTGCAAGCTAACTGGGATACAGCACGACCTATCTTCCACTGCCACGCAGGTTACTACCTTAGCAGATGACAGTGGCTAGCCTCTGTAGGTCATGATTTCCTCTCACTAGACGCTACGTCCATAGCATTTGAAACTAGGAGAGGCTACATTTCATATTGCCAATGAGTAGGATGATATTTTTGTTGAGGTTTTATTATCGTGGGTTAAAAATCATGAAATGACAAGTGGAGAAAAAATAATCAGCACAACTGACAGGGCCATCCGAGAGCTAATCTATCACACCCTTCAAGTATCCTTGGTGTAGTTCCAAATACATAATTTCCAAGGAGAGCACCCCGACGAAGACCTGGTTATCTGCCAAGAAACATATAGGTAAACCGGTAGCGCGAGTACTAGTAGTAGTAGCGTGGCGTTCAATGTGTCGATGTAAGGAGGCCGAATGCGAAAGAAATGGCATAAAATAGCCAATTTTAAAGCTGGTCAGTGAACACGTCGGTAGGTCGTAGACAATGTGTGTGTAATGAGGAAAAACGGTGGCGAAACAATCAGGGTTAGATATAAGGGGGCCAGAAAGCCCCAAGCTGCTAGACTTAGGTGAAAAAAGTGAGGTGTCAAAGAACAAAGGAGGACAATGACATGTGCTTGATACTGGATCAGAGCTCCGATCGCATGTTCTTTTGCCTATAAAGTCACACAGCAATTGGCGTACAGTGCAGATCGGTGGCCAAATAGCCACTCATTCAATATGGCACAAGAATGGGAGGTGTGCTAGCCTGCAAATTGTACGTCGAACTTTGTGGGACGAACGACCTCACGGAGGAGTAGTCTCGGTTTTCCTCTCCAAGACGGATTTTGTTCTTGATTCGACTCCTCAGGCAGATATAGCCGGCTGAGAGAGTGGAACCTTGAATAACGCCTGATGTCTTGAATACGAGAAGAATGATCTCCGCAAACAGCGCTTGCTACAATAATAGTCAGCCTCATTGTGACCGAGGATTGTTTCTGTTACACCAGCCAATCCGGTGCCTCAAAAGTACAATGTCGTCCCACACACCTAACCGTGAACTTCACTCCTACAACGAGGGCCGGGCACCCCGCCCCCTCCAGCAACGACCAACTGTCTCATGGAGCCCGTACCGACGACGTGGTGGATAATAGACAGGAAGGCACTTCGTCAACATTCACATAAACCGCAGCCACACCGGGGATGTCGAACAACAGCCAATCAGTTGAAATAACATTATCAAATAAAATATATCTGTTAAAGTATACGGCTATGCAGACATAACCGCCAAAGTAACATATGAAGTAAGTTGGTTAGCAACGAATCCGCGATAAGTACAAAATGTCTACAAGTTACTCAGAAAATGCTACAAACCCAAGAAAGTTAAACAAGATAAGCGCAATTAGCGTAAGTAACGTGTGCAAGTTAATAGAAGATTATTCAGGTAGGCAGAGCGAACCAAATAAAGTGGAATGAAATTTATTCAACTTAAAGAGACCTAGTTTAAGTGTAAGTGGCTTTCGCCCAACAGCGGTGACACATACTCTTAACCTATACTGCCGGCTGTCTTGCCTGTTTCATGTGACTTGAGATCTGGTCAATACACTGTCCGGTGCGGTGAAAGTCTTTGTTCTGACGACTCGACGCCCCATTAATCGCAATTATAACACTGGCTAACCGAACTGCTACAACTACAACATTCAGCAGTAACAGCGGGCTATGCTTCAACAAGAACAAAGACAGACATTGTTATTCCAAGCATTCACTGAGAAACTGTCATTCCTAAATCGAACACTCACCACAGTGAAAATCGAGTACACATCAGCTGGAGCGTTGGTAAACAGAAGGCAAGATTTCCACTAGGACGCAGAGAACGGCATCACATTCGCAACCTGGTACAGGCGATATGAAGACATCTTTCTGGTTGACGCGTTCACGCTTGTTGAGGCGGCCAAAGTACGGTTGTTGCTAAGGAAGCTGGGCGCAAATGAACACTACCAGTACTGTAATTTCATTATACCGAAACATTCCCGAAAGTGCAATTTCCGGGAGACTAGATATACTCACTTCCATTTTTGGTGAAAGCTCCTCAATTTGTAACATCCCTTATCAGTGTTCGAAGCTGGTTAAGAATCAATCCGAGAACTATGTTTCCTACGCGAGCCGTGTGAATCATTCATGCGAACGTTTTAAGCTCAAACAACCTAGGGATGATAAGTTCAAGTCACTCATTTTTGTATCCGGTTTGACTAACGCAGCTGACGCAGAAATCAGAACAAGTCTGTTATCCAAACTGGACTCATCTCCAGCTTTCACCATTCAGAACGTCACCGCAGTGTCAGCGTCTGGTCAACTTACGAAGTGACTCAAGTATGCTTCAGTCGAGACAACTGATGTCAGAGATAGCGATGGTTGATACAATTGCTACCCGAACACCGACAGATGTCTATAACACCGCAAGACAGAAACCACCACGTGTTTGTTGGAATTGTCGTGAGTGGCATATTTCCAGCAACTGTCCGTTCATCAATCACCAGTTCAACGTCTACCACAAGAAAGGCGATAAATAAACGCATTGCCAATCAGCCACACGACGTTCTCATCATGAGGAACAATCAAAACTGTTTCAACAACGCGGAATCAAATGGGAGTCTAATGTGGTTTTTGCAATTGCGCAGGAAGGATTACTTTCACTTCGTAAGTTTAGCACTGTCATTATTAATGGTCACTCAGTGCGCCTACAGACGGTTACCGCATCTGACATTACCATCATCTCCAGCCCGACATTGTTGGCCATCGGTAGACCGCTACTGTGCAATGCGGAAAATACCGCAAGGAGTGCATCGAACAGTAGCTTACAGCTATGTGGTAAATTTTTCTGTGAATATCTACAAAAACGATTAGCCAACCGGCGTCTGTCACGTTTCTGACAACCTGGGAGTAAACAGTATTGATCGGATAACCGCGTTGAATCTGTGGTGTGTTCCTCTTGATTCTGTGTACGATCAAACCGAGGAAAGTATGTCCGGTCCGGACATGTTTTCGCATTGCTGCGCAGTGCAGAATTCTACATTTGCTGACGATATGCTGAAGCAATTCCCGGAGGGTTTAACCACTCTTGGCTGTTGCATCAAGTTCACGGCATCTGTGTATCTAAAAGGTGACGCAAAGCCAGTTTTTAACTAGAAAGACCGGTACCGTATGCGTCTCTTTAGTTAGTTGACAATGATTTGAATCACTTGGAGCAATCAGGGTAGCGCCCAAAGGGATAGTGAAAAAAGCGAACGGAACCATTCGCCTATGTGATGATTATTCAACCGGCTGAATGCAGCACTGATCCTCCATCAATACCCGCTGCCAATACCGCACGATCTTTTCGCCAAACTCAACGTATTTTCTCAAAGATTGATCTCTCGGATGCCAATCTTCAATTGGTAGTCGATGATGACGCACGGCGCCTTCTTACAACTAACACTCACCGTGGTCTTATCAGTACAATCGGCTACCGTTCGGAGTGAATGCTGCTCCCGGACTCTTTCAACAACTGATGGATACTATGCTAACGGATGTACCATCGGCTTGTGCATACTTGGATGATATTATCGTCTCATCAACAGACAGAAGCCCTCATAGCTGCCATTTCTTGCAGCTATTCGAACGCCTACGGTTTGACTCTAAGAGCTGACAAATGTTATTTATTTATGCCTCAACTGAAACCCCTTGGTTCTCTTATCAATGGTGACGGGCAAAGACCTGTTATTGAAAAAGTGAGCGTCATCGAAGAATCACCTGCACCACAGGATGTACCTACTCTGCAACCGTTCCTGTGCATGGCAAGTTATTACAGTGCATTTATTCCTGATGTGCATCGAGTTCGCAGGAAAATGAATTACGACGGAGTAAATATCGTCCCTGGTTTTGGTCATTCCAATGTGAGGAAGCGTTTAGGCGCATTGAGAAAGCCCTTGTACCTGACTTAATGCTGGCACATTATGACTCAAAAGCAGATATAATTGTCTCCGCAGATGCCTCCAGTTATGGTGTTGGAGCAGTTCTCCGTCAGCGGTTCGACTCTAGCACCATGAGATCGGTTGCCTACGCATCACGTGGCTTAACGAAGTCTGAAAGAAACTGCTTACAGAGCGAGAAAGAGGCACTAGTTTTAAGTTTTGCTGTCAAAAGGTTTCATCGGATGTTGCAGGGTAGAGAATTCGTATTGGAGACTGACCATAAACTATTATTAGCCATTTTCGGTTCAAACAAGGGTATACCTGTGTACACGGTGAATCGCGTCCAACGCTGGGCGACACTGTTGCTCGGATATACTTTTACAACAGTTGATGCGCCTATGGCAGATTTCAGCTACGCCGATGCGCTGCCGCGACTTATCGCAAAACAGCCGAGTATAGAAGACCAGGTGATCGCGTCAGTTGGGTTGGAATCGGACGTGAAACAGTTTCTGTGTACTTCAATCAGAGCTCACACGATTACTTCTGTGGACATTCAGGAGCACACCAAACTCGACCCTCTTTTGCAAAACGTTATTCGTTTTTTAAACACAAAGTGCCCAGACCGGATTACAGACATACACCCTAAACAATTTTATTGGCGACGTAACTCGCTAGCACTGGTTGATGATTGTGTTATGTTCGGTGAGCGAGTGGTTGTTCCGAAGTCCCTGCAGGCAAGGGTATTAAGATATTTGCACCTACATCACCCCGGAATATCACGGATGAAAGCTTTAGCCAGAAGTTACGTATACTGGCCTTTTATTGACAACGCTATCCATGATTGTGTCGCCACATGTAGCAAATGTGCATCAGCAGCGAAACTTCCAAGCAAAATCATCCAACCATGGATGTCAGTTTTTAAGCCTTGGGAGAGAATTCACGTTAACTTCGCCGGCCCAGTTAAAGGCCAGTGTTTTTTGATTGTGGCCGGACGTATTCCTGATGAAAATAACTACGACAGCGGCCACAGTAGGGAAACTACAAGTTATTTGCACAGTTCAATTCATCGAACACCTTCGTTTCCGATAAGGGTTCGCAATTTATCTCGGACGATTTTGGTGCTTTCTGTCAGCATAATGGTATCAAACACTGCCGGTCACCTCCGGGGCATTCCCAGTCCAACGGGCAGGCAAGCATAAAAATTCGTGGATACCTTCAAATGTTCACTACTAAAACTGCGGGAAGAAAGACCGACAGAGGAGATCATACAGCTGTCCCGGTTAACTTATCGGGCTACGCCTAACCCCGCTGTACCAGGCGGCAGATCCCAGCGGAAGCCATGTTCGGGCGTGAGATACGTCTTCCAAATGATGCAATACGCGCTAAGGTTACGCGAGCGCCACTCGTGTCAGGTGTGAGCAGACGTTTTCTACCAGGGGAGCAGGTGCACGCGTTGGATTACAAGGCCAAACCACTAAACTTGGCAACCTGCAGTGGTAGGAAAAAAGCACTGTGCTGTACGTAGTGTCTATCGGATCGTTGTCTCTCGTACAGCACATTAACCAGTTATGCGAATGACGTATCCAACATATAGTCACTTCGACTTTCGAGCTGCTGTTCGATATACTACTGGACAGGTTTGAAGTATCAAAAACGGTGGGTCTGGGTGAGCCGATAGAAACCTGCACAGAGCCATGCCACGGAGTCACTCGGAAACCTATGCGGGCAATTAAACCGATTCGACGTTTACAGGTGAACACAGCACTTCATTCGTATGAGCCTGGAGACCGTGTTCTTAAGGGGGGAGATGTTACACGAGGCGATCCGGTGCTTCAAAAGTACAATGTCGTCCCACACACCTGACCGTGAAATTCACTCTCACCCACTGGTGTACTGTGGTTCGCATGCATCAGACCGCCGCCTGTCTGACACTCTTAACTTAACCTATATGTTGCCGGCTGTCTTGTCAGTTTCATGTGACTTGAAATCTGGTCAATAGACTGTCCGATGCGGTGGAAGTCTTTGTTCTGACAGCTCAACGCACCACTAACCGCAATTATCAATTTCAAAGTAAACATTTATCACCCACATACTCAGAGGTGACAGACATAAAGCTTTTACTTTAAAAACTTGTCTGCAAAGTAGCAACAGTTTGGCGATGAGGTGCAAGTCTTGGTAAATGGATACCAAGTGTCACTATAAACCAAGTAACTAAGTCTGTGCGGCCTCTAACAGCTGGTCAGTCTGGCATGAGTGCCTTTGAAGCCCAATCGAACACAGCTGTATGAGTAGTTGGGATACGCAGACTATCGCACCAGTTTAAGTTCCAGCATCGCTGGTGATTTAATGTTGCATGGTACATGCTAGAGACTCTCGGTTCATCATAGGCCACCAATGACGCCTTGTAGATATTCGCAGTAACCTAGACGGACAAATTCAGAAACTAATGTCGACAACCAAAACAACAACAAGACTGAATGTAGGCAAAGTAATCCTCTTACAATGTATGCTGATGGGGCGGTACAATGTCGAACCGCATGTGTTCGGCACTACAAAGGTCAAGGGCGATCATTTCCTCGAGGATAAGCTACTCAAGCCAAAAGTCGAAAAACAACAGCCCGACGTGGTGCCGTATGAGGTCCTATCGAAGCAGTTGGAGCGCATTTTGACAAGATACTAACAATCAGTGTGCAGGAAACCGAACGCCGGTCACAGAAGTAACCATGGCCAAGAGGGCTAGTAAAAATAGTCTGCAATTCGACTGGGCATAAAGTTCAGGCGCGTTACTGGGTTGCAAAATCTCAAGACATTGTAGTCAACCCCAAAGGAGGCAACAAAAGGTGAACTTGAAAGGTAACAATTCCATGACTACTTACCGTATGCTACCGAATATAAGCCGATGATTTCTGGACATTTTCATTACTGTAGACGGCAAAATCGTGCAGAATAAAGTGTTTTTTCCTTTATGCTGATATTTTTGGGGGGACGGCTAATATAGAGACTTTGGACAAATCTGACATTGCAATTATGCTGTCGGCCGTTATAATGTCAGCTTATATTCGGTAATATACGGTACTTATCTATATCCAACTTCCGGAGGCCTAAACGTTGATCTCCAGGAGAAGAATCGAGTTTATAGTGAAGGGAAGTTCATTTGATGAGGGCAGCGCGCTAAAAGTGGCCGGTGCCGAAATTGTGAATAAACAATCCCCCCGCCCCCTGATGCATAGCGGTCCCATCAGCTCTGCTAAAGACAGACCAAATAATGACCGGAAAGATTCCGATGACAAAACTAATCAAGAAATGTGGAATAACCAAGACGGAACGTTACCCAGACGGCACTCACTTGCAAAATCAGCTCGAAAAGTATCTCATGATCAGTAGAGTAAAAGGGCAAACGGCCACACAGCATCTCATACATGACGACCCCTAATCCCCACCAATCGACTGCACGACCGTAGTCGTTATCTGACAGAACTTCAGGAGCGATATACTCGGGGGTGCCACAAAATGTTTTCGTCAAAGCGCCATAATGCATTTCTTCTTTGCAGAGGCCAAAATCCGCTATTTTTATGTGCCCGTCTTTATCCAGAAGGAGGTTCTCCAATTTCAGATCCCTGACAATACGCAGGAAAAATGACATCATCCCCAGACAGAAAATAAATGTAACGAGAAAATGCAGCAGTTTGGGGCGGGAAATAATTAAATGGGCCAAAGACAGCAGCTGACCACACAAGCGAGGAAAGCTTTACATGAGTAATGGGTGCCTATGGTAATCAGAATGCTAGCGATCGAGTGTGAGGCAATAGATTGGGAGAACAATGACGCGAAAGTGACGAACAACTGAGGGAAAAACGCGCGCCATATTCTGACCAACAACGACAGCAGTAACAAGGGAAATTTGAACCGACGTGTCGCTGCCATGCAACTAAAACCACCTAGAAAATGAAGTGAATTAGGAGGAAAGGAGAAAGCTGTTGTATAATTCAAACTCCCTAAGAGGAGCTCCTTACTTCATAAAACTGGCTCTCTGTAGTCCAGCGCCAAAACCCCACTGCTTTGCGGTGAGGTCTTTGAGCCAAAGGCTTGGGTTGAGAACACTAATCGTTCTCCTGTCTAAACCTGGTCAACGTGACAGTATCTTGCTAAAGCAATACAACATTATGGCTTCGTCCTCAAATAATTTTTTGATGCTCTGTCCGCCGCAGAGGATAATAAACAGTGCCCTATCTGCTGAATCGAGCAGGACAGATAGGGGTTCGGATGCTAGTGCTCACGCTTACCCGTTTTCTTCTCGCTCTCACTGGCCACTTACTTCTGATCACAGAAGTGAGTACTTATGGGAGGGGGAATGAGCAACCTCGATGGCCAATGGCTGTCAACGGCCTTCATGCTTCGCGGCAAGTTCAGCAGTTCAGGGAACCCTGGAAGCCTTACTGCTTCACTCGGGCTCTTTGGGCGACCTGAGTAGTTTGCCTCTACGCGAAAGCCGTTCTATCCTCACCTAGAAAGCCGGCTCCCAACGGTTCGCGGTATACGTCATTCCCCCCGCTGACTTGCGGGTTACGTCTTTTATGACCCAAGGCTACGAGTTGTATATATATACAAAAGGGTGGCTTGTGTTGCACCACCCACAGCTCCAAGCACACACCCCATATCCAGTGTAAACCCGAAGGAATAAGAACGGGAGGCATGTGGATGGGGGCCACATTTCATCAACGGAGCCGACCCACACTCCTTCACAGGTAAACACAAGCACACAGTATTTGGGAATCAAACGCAAACAGGGCGTTGGCTGGTTCGTTGTCCGCTCCACACTGAGTGCATGGAACCACCTTCCGAGCCTAGCATGGCCACAAGGACCGTGCATCCCGTCCCCTCCAACAACGACCAACTGTCTCCTGGAGCCAGTATAGACGACGTAGTGGGTAATAGACAGGTAGGCACCTTGTCAACATGCGTAGCCACAACAGGGATATCAAGCAACAGCCAATCAGTTGAGACGACAAGATCAAATAAAATAAATCCAATAATGCATAGATACAATGAAATAACTCTTCGGCAAATAAGCATATGAAGTAATTTTGTTTGGCAATAAATCCGCGATAAGTAAAAATAGTCCACAAACCCAACAGTTACCGAAGACAAGGGCAATTAGCGTAAGCAACGTGGCCAGTGAATGGAAAATTATTCAGGTAGGCAGAACAAAGTAAATAAAGTGGAATGAAATTTATCCAGCTTAACAAGAGACCTAGTTTAAGTGTAAGTTGGTTTAGCCCAGCTGTGGTGAAGTAGCATCATGAATGCAACATCAGCCTCAGTATGGCGGAATCCGGTTTCGGATTTGCCTGTCACTGGGGCCAGCCACAGGACGCCTTCGCCTACAGAGGGACCATGGGTGACTTGCGCTGCACCACCCACAGCTCCAACCACACACCGCATATCCAGTGTAAACCCGAAGGAATAAGACCGGAAGGCATGCGGATGGGAGCCACATTTCATCAACTGAGCCGGCCAACACTCCTTCACAGGCAAACACAAGCACGCCGCATTTGGGGAATCAAGCGCACACAAGGCACTGAATCGACCGTAGTCCGCTTCACACTGAGTGCATGGAACCACTCTTGGAGCCTAACATGGCCACAAGGACCGTGCGCCCTGTCCCCTCCAGCAACGCCCAACTGTCTCCTAGAGCCAGTATGGACGAGGTAGTGGGTAATAGACAGGTAAGCACCTTGTCAACATGCACATCAAGCGCAGCCACATCGGGGATATCAAGCAACAGTCAATCACTTAAGAGTAGGCCAACAAAGAAAACAAATCGAGTAATGCATAAAGAAACGTGACGAAAATCTTAAATTAATGAGTATATGAAATAAGATGTTAACAAAGGATCCGAGATAAGTTCAGGGGGTCAGGAAGTATATTTTACGGAAATGACACAAACGCGAAAATGTTATCGATTATAACTACAACTGGCTTAAGCGAGTTGTGCAGGTTTATAGGAGAGTGTACAGGAGGACATTTATTTGAGAAAGAAAAGCATTTGGACAAATTTGAAAACCCACCACCTGAAATAAACAGACGTAGCATGCAAGTACAAGGTTAGTAAATCGAATGCAGTGTACCTACAAACGCTGCGCCGGTTTTGCCTACGTTCTCTGCAGGACCCGTCGTCGCTTCGGTAGTGGTCCCGAGTGGCCTCGTTCTTGGCTCACTAAGAACTCGCGACCGCATGTGCTACAGCAACATGCGCTCGATGTCGATGGAGAACAACCCATCGGTGCTTAATGCTTCCGCACTTGCCGCTTCTTCTCTGCATGCAAGAGGGCTTTCTCCTGCACCTCGGCAACTGCCTTCGTGATCAGAGCGCCTCATGCACGCCGATCAACCGCCTTCAAGTCCCATGATCTGCAATCAAGATTAGAACGTGAGAGGCTCACTTTAATCATGTCCTGGTAACGTAACCTTGGTTTCCCCACGTGCCGCTTCCTTATACTCAGCTGACCGTATAAGAGTTGCTTCGGTATCCGCGTTGAATCCATACGGCTCACATGACCGAGGCACCTCAGATGTCTCAATAAAAGTATGCAGTCCACTGCATACATTCCACTACGGCGCAACACTTCCGTGTCTGCAGCTCTGCTGCCCCAACCGACGCGTAAAATCCGTCGCAAGCACTGCTGATGGAACAGCTCGAGATATCGCACATCCCGACGGTACATCGTCCACGTTTAACTGCCGTATAGAAGAATGGACAGCACCACGGATTTGTACACCATCAGCTTCGTGCCAATGCTAAGCTGATGATTGATCCACACTCGGTACTCAAGCTTCCCGAATGCCGCTGCTGCCTTCGACACGCGGATATCAAACTCACTGTGAAGCTGCTGACCCGTCGACATCACACTCCCTAGGTAGCTGAAGCGGGAGGTGGTTTCCAATACTTCAGCACCAATACTGATTCGCGGCAATATTGAAGATTGCACCTCCGGTGAAGGCTGAAAGAGACAGAAGCTTTTGCTTCTGCAGATGGTGAGCCCGAATTTGGCCGCTGTCGAAGCCAGAGCACTAGTCATGTGTAGCAACTCATCCGCGCTGTGTGAAAACCACGCACAGTCGTCAGCAAACAGCAACATACGGATAATTGTCTCACAGACTATAGTTCTCGCACCGAAACGACGGATGTTCAGCAACCCACCATCAATACCGTGCTCCACAAGAACACCGTAAGCACAAGCCGCATCAAAAGCACAAGACATCATTGCATGAAGATATATATTAAACAGGACAGGATCTAAAACACAGACTTGTTTCACACCAGTGACAACTGCAAAGTCATCCGACGTCGCCCCACTCAGCCGCACCCTCGCTCGCATACCACTGCGCAGACATCCAAGAAAACTTACGAACTTACGCGGGTAACCAAACTTACCCAACACTAGCCACAATGCCTAGCGGTTAAACGTATCGAATGCTTTGGTGGAATCAACAAAAAGCGATTACAATGGCTGGTGTCGTTCTCTGCACTTCTCCTGCAACTGACGAGCCGCAAACATCATTTCTATAGTGCTGAGACCCGAACGGAATCCACATTGCTCTTCCGCCACGTTCGGTTCCACAACCTGACTGACGATGCCGTTGAGCAGGATTCGGGCAATCACCTTGCCCACACAACTCAGCAAGTTGATGCCACGATAATTCGTGCAACATTGATTGCTCTCTTTGCCCTTGTACAGTGGTAGCACAAGGGCATCCTTCAGCTCAGCAGGCACCTCCTCCTAAATCCATACGCGTTGCACCAAGTGGTGCAGCGCAGTCAACAACGCCGGTTCGCCGTGTTTCAACACTTCAGGCGGGATCCCATCGGCTCCGGCACATTTGCCGTTTCGCAGCTGAGCAAGTGCTCTCTGCGTCTCATTGTCGGTGTGTGCGCCAGACTCGTCTTCACATCGTGCTGCTTCAGGCAGTTCAATGTAAGCCAGTCGATCTCTGAACGGTTGTTCAAGAGACAGTCAAAGTGTTGTCGCCATATCTGCATTATGTCTGAAGTCTGTGTGCAGGTAGCGCCTGAACTAGCATCGATCAGTGTCCTCAGTGGCTCCAATCTCAGTCCATACACCTCCTTCAATGAGTCAAAGAATTCCTTGTTGGTGGCATTCGGCTTAGCATTCCATCTGCTTCGCCTTCTCCGTCCACCATGCATTTTTAATGCGACGGAGCTCTCGGGTCAGTCGCCGTCGAAATTTGCGAAACTGACTACTCTTCCCCAAGTCAATGGGGTCTGCCACATGTGCAGCAAATGCTGCATTCTTCTCTGACACCAATGCGCCAATCTTCGCATTGTTCTCATCAAACCAATCAGGCCGCTTACAGTTTGCGCGCCCGATGGTCTCCGCAACAGAAGCTCTCACCTGCTCGTGAATGCAGAGGAACAGGTCCCCACTGTGGCTATGCAATCCATATCAGACAGGCGTGCAGTCATCACCTTCTCCAGCTCAGTACGTTTCGCCAAAGTACCGAGGGAGAGAATGTTAAATTTACGCCGATTCACAGCGGGAGTGCAATACATATATTTACGAAAATATATGTACAGTTTGTTCCTCACCAATCTGTT